TGGTCAAATTTCCTACGGGATAAGGGTAGTTGATTGATTGATTTTAGGAGAAAAGATGAGTTGTCATTTTAAGGGAGATTACTTGATTTAACCACCACAACTTTATAGGAAAATAGTCTTTGCATCGTCTTAAGAGAAGGGCTCAAGTACTCGGATTGTCAACAAGTACGCCTTTATTTCTCCTAAGACAAAGTCCCTACATATTGATTGAATTGTTATGGGGTAGAAGTTTTATCTCGCTTAAGATGATTAACATCTTATTCTCTAATATGTTTGAATAGTTTGAATTGAGTCGTTGAATGTGTTTGTCTAAATTGTAAAGATAAAAGGTCCTCCTTATGGGGTATGATCTAAACTTAGATGATTGACTTGAATGGGATCAAGGATCAATGGGGATTATGATGCAAATGACATGCATATGCACAATTGTTTAGGTCATGCGCAGATTCTTCCTTTGGACATGATGCGATAAGATAAATGATGGTAAATATAAATTGCAGATAAAGTAAAAGCAGATAAATAAATTCATACACAGACGCATGAAAGCGGTAAGACGAGTGTGTGAATTGTGAATAGGTGAGTGAAAGTAAATGTGAACGGAAGCGAAGCGCGAGCGTGCACGATTAATTGATTGAAATGATTGATTTATTTTAGGAGAAATGATTTAGATATTTTATTTGAATTACGCTTATGAGAAAATATATTATTTTCGGCGAGATTGATTTTAAGGGAGGGTTGAAATGATTTTAAGGGAAGTTGATTTTAGGAAAAAGTTAATTTGATTCGTTTTAGTAAAAGTTTTATTTATTTTAGATTTTTAAATTAAATTTTTAAAAGAAAAGATTTTTAATTAATATAAATTTGAGAAAGAAAGCTTTATTAAATAGGATAGATTTTTTAGTTATTAAAAAAATATAAGAGTTAATTTGAATAAAAAGGATTGTTTATTATTAAGTATTTTGAAAATTAAATTAAATATGAAAAGGATAAACCAATTGATATATGTTTGTTTATTTTAGAAAAGGGTTATTAAATTTATTTTAAATAAAAGGATGATAAAAGGGTCTAATAATTAAGAAGGTTATTAGTTTAATTTTAAAAGGTTGATTAAAGTTTGATTACAGGTTAATTAATTAAAAGGATTAATAGAAAATGTTTGATGTAGTAGTTAATTAGAAAAGTGATTAATTAGGGTGATCTAACGGTTAATGAGGGGTTAATTAAAGGTTAGTGGGTGGATTGATTAGGTGTGGATGCGCAGGAGAGGGTTTACCGTGGGTGTGCAATGTTGGCCGTGTGATGGGTCAGGTGGGTGATGAAAGGTGGTGATCGTGTGGGTGCATGGCAGTTGTGTGGGTGAGCATGCATTGGATTACAATAATAATAAAACAGAAAAAGCTGAAAACGTAAAACCCTAGCTCTATCCCCAAATTCGCCGCTCATCTCCTCTCGGACTCCAATCTCATCCTCTTCCTCTCTGTCTGTTCACAATCTCCTTCTCCATTTCTCTATTCTTTTTTTCGTCGATTTCTTCTTCTTTCTCCGCGAGAGTCTCTCCTGTTCCGTCTATCTCTCTCACTTCTTCTCCTCTTCTTCCCCCATCTCTTGCATCAACTCCTCCGTTTTCTTCTCCTTCAACTTCTGATTTCTACAAAACAAACAGAAAAAACAATAGATTGTCAATGTTAGTTAAAAGAAAGCTCACGGTTTTGGATTTTTTTCAGGGGTTTCTTTTGATGGCGGATCGAGAGTGAAAAGGGTGGTCCGCGGTGGAGTTCTGACGACAGTGACGGGGATAGCGAAGCTGTGGGTTTGGATCATGGCAAAGCTCTCGATTGCGGCGGATCTTGTGAAAAGCTAAGTCTCTCTCTTCTGCATTAAGGCTTTTTTCGAAATTGGGATTTTTTTGGTGTTTCGAATCTGTTGTCGGACTTTGAGTTTTTTTTGATGGCTTGTTGTTGGATCATGTGGATTGTTGTGAATTTTCTGTTGAACTCCCCCCTTCTCTTTATCTCGAATCTCCTTTTATATAGACTGTTCCGATTTCAAATCTTTGAAATGCTTTCCTATTCCGTCAAATGTTGTTTTGAAAGAATTATGAATACAAGGATTTTGTTGTAAATGATGTTTCCAAATTGATTTGAACGTGTCGGGACATGTTCTTGTATGTTAGGAAAGAATGGGATCCTGTTTTTTCTATTTGATTTAATCCTGTTGACTGTATTGAAAGGTAGTAAATGTTTGATTCAAATTTGGGAAGGCAGTAATGCCTGTAGTGTTATTTCCATTCCGATCCGGATATGTTCTGAATTTGTTCTAAGTTATTCAAATCGAAAATTGATTGCTCTTGAAATGTTGAACTAATGCTCCTTTACTACTCTTGTTCAGGTTATTCAGGTGAATCAAGGACGCCTCACAAAAGGAAATGAGGAAAGAAAGCCAACGAGAAACCTGGAGTGTTCTTCAACTTATTAGCAACAAATTTAATTCAAATCGTACACCCAAATCTTGCGGTAGGGCCTCTGTTTTGATCATTCCCCTGTTTTGGAATTACTTTGAATTTGTCTGGATTTGTATTGCTGGGGTTTTCTTTTGCTCTTGATTTCTTACCAAAACCTGAGTTTGTGACTCTTAACTCTCTGTTCTCGAAACTGCAGTATCACAACCGAGGATGCTGTTGTTTCTACATGATCCCAAACCTTCCATTTCGTCTTGCTCAAAACGGTTCCCATGAATATTTTGCCTGGCTTGCTTGTATTATTATGTTCACATTTTAGCTATTGATTGTCTGATAAACTGAATTGCGAATTTGCAGGGATTTTCTTCGGTAATAGCGGGTGAACGAGAAACTAAAACAATCCTCGGGTTGGTTGGAAAATAGAACAAGATCTATTGCCAAATGGAATGTTTTCGGATTCGGAACGGCGGTTGCAGTTAGCTCTTGACGTGTGCAGATTCTCCCGAGCGACCCTACAGGTCGATGCTTATTGTTTTGTTGGTTACAAAGCTTCTCATGAGGACTTGTCTGGACTTATGCATTCGGCAGCAGTTAACGGCGGTATCGGCGTATCGAGTAGTAGTGTTGCTCTTCCTTTGATGATTAATAAGGGGATACAGCTAGCTCGTAAGAAGTGCCAATGAAGCTGGTGTGCATCATTTCTGAAACAGTGAAGGGGACTTGGTATCAATGGTGTATTTGAAATTAAGGTTGTATGATAAAAACTGGTTAAGGATTATAGTGTACATACTGTAACTTGGATTTTAATGTCCTTGTAAATCTCAATATGCTTCTTCCATGTACCCAATGTATACTTTTAACTTTTTTGAACTTTTGGAAACTTGCATTTTCCGTATGTATGGTTCTCTTGGATGATACACATCTTAATGAAAACAAACTTGGTCTTTGTATTGAATTTACTTTGTGCACGATAAAATTATGCAGTAACTTTACATTCTGTCATGATGCTTGCCGCTTTAGCCATTGACTTTTGATGATAAGTGTAAACATTGGCCCTCGAAGTTAAAATCTCCTTTTCTTATTTTGCATAATATCTTGAATTTTATGAGACTCATGAACCGATTGGGATCTAGAATTTGAGGGAGAACACACGCAAGCTGTCATTATCTTGAATGGCCTGGACTATCACGTCGCCTATGGACTCTAAACTTCGAAAAAAGTGGTAAACAAAATGAACTTGAATTTAATGGGAAGAACCAATTAGCATTCAAAACTTTCAATCTTGGATCCTTTTGAAACTAGGTTTTGACCTTCCGAAGAACGCTTTTGTACTCTTTGAAATTTCGAACCTCTTACGGTAACCTTTGAAAGCTCTTGAATATCATGACAATGTAACAATGAATTCCTACTTAATCTATCGGATCTGAACCACTTTTCGAATCTAGAGCGACGTGAATCAAGTTCGGGATACCCTTGACCTGAGGCGTTAATTTGAAAGGATGAACGTCAGTTCTACTTGAAAATAAAGCACCTGCACGAGCTGAGCTTGTTAGACATAATAAACGCGCATAAAAGTATAAAGAAAACGTGGGAGAAAAAGCATAAGGAGGTGGGATCTTGAGGTCAAAAATTAGGGTGCGACAAACTCCAAGTGCGAACTAACATAGAAGTAGCCATAAGAGGAGTAGTAGAAAAATGGTTACGAAACGATTACAATTGCAGTTGTGCAGCAGAGGAAACGTGATAGAATCAAGAAAGAATTTGAGAAAAGTAAAAGACAATTCCTACCAACATCACTTCTATTCCGTATTGAAACAAAATAAATAAATTGATGACGACCACCGTAGTAAAACTTCTAGTACAGTGGTTATGGTTTTAAGTTAATTAAAAGAATATATGCATAAGATTAGCACTCTAACAATTAAGTCAATTAATTATAATTTTTCTCCATAGTAAAGCTTTTTAATTTCTAACCAGATTTAATCCAAATAACTAATAATTAAGCTGTTTTATGTGAATAAGCCATGCAAGTGTCATGGGTTTGAAAATGTAGTAGTATGTAAGAAGGAGATAGCTGACTTTTTAGGAATTGAAATGATTGAAAAAATTAATTGCATAGCATGTTCTTAAATGTGTTATACAGACTAGTACAATAAATTTGTATTATACAGGAATTTAAATAGTATCAACATATAGTATATGTACAAAAAAAATGTTATTAAATTCCAACATACTTTACCTTCTTTTTTTTTTTACTAGACATACTTTAACCTAATTAAATCCTAATTATCAAGACTATTAAATAAAGTAGTTTCTTTTTTCTTTCTATCTATATAGTTTGTATTATCATTATCATTTTTTTTCTCTCCCACTTATTACCTTTAGCTTTCCCATGTTTGATGATATACTTCTCTCCCTCTCTCTCTCTCTCTCTCTCTCTCCACCGTCCACTACTTCCTTCAGCCATCTTGTACTCTCTCTCTATAAAAGCAAACAACCTAAGTAGATAGCCATAAACTGTTCCCATCTTGATCTCTCCTCCATGGCTGATCATCCTTACAGTTCCAACCTTTTCTCTTCTTCATCACCAAGTTTCTTCCAATTCAATCATATTTTTCCATCTTCAAACCCTTCTCCACACCATCTCCATAACCCTTTTCTCCATCACCACAACAACAACCACACCTTTTTCCACTACCATCATATTTCATCTTCTTCTTCACCACCTTCTCCTCCTCTCAGAGAAGAACTACCTCTTCTAAGCCTAATCCCAGCAAAACAAGAAGAATATGAAGATCAACAAGAACATGATGAGGATATTCAAGACCTCCCTTGCACTGCCATGGATTTAGAAGAAAGGGAAGAAGAAGGTAGAAGTAGTAATACAGTCACTGTTGCACTTCACATAGGTTTGCCAAACCCTAGTGCTGCTGAAATGGCTTCTGTACTTTCTTCATCAAATAACTCATCAGAGATCACCGTCACTGATAAAGAACAAGGCGATGATTCTTCTTCTGGCTTCATCATGCTTCATAATAACACCCTTAACAAAGGACAGTATTGGATCCCTACTCCATCTCAGATTCTCATTGGTCCAACTCAGTTTGCTTGCCCGGTTTGCTCCAAAACTTTCAACAGATATAACAACATGCAGGTAAACTACTTCTTCTGTTTTGCTTCTTCTCTTACAAAAAAGAAAAATAAATTTTCTTTTCCTTCTGTTGTTTTGCTTCTGTTTCTGCTTCTCCTTTCTGTCAATAACTTTCTTCCTTGATTTGAACCGTTAACGGTTCTCTGATGCTTGGATAGAAAGAGAAAAAGGTTGTATACTAATCTATGGTGTGTACTTGTCTTCATTTTCAATTCTTTCTTTTTGAACAAGTTATGATTATTACTTTGTTTTTCACTTCTACTTTTTTTTCTTGAATTATTTTTACCCTATTTTTTTGCAGGAAAATTATGAACTTATTGAGTTATATTAATTTTATTTTATTTATATAAAGTAATTCAGTTTATCAATTTTGGTTTTACCTTGAATTTTTGCATGGTGTATTTTGTTGAATAATAAACAAATCTTTTCCTGATTCACAGTGAGAAAGTGAGATCAGTAGCTTTGATTGATTAAACTACTCAATCAATGTTCCTTATGCTTTTTACTACATTGAAGTCTGTGCTACTTCTTTCTGTATTTTAGAAACTGTTTTAAAACAGAAATTTTTTCAGTGCTTCTTCCACATCATACATATAATTATATATAAATAAATAAATAAATAAAAATTATTTTCTCTTTGTGGCCTTAAAGTCTGAATCCAACCATCTTCCCAACCTGAAGACTCCATATATATCAATGTTCCTGATAACATGTTCTTTTTAATTGACAGTGTGGCGTTATTGTCACGTTGGGTCTTTGTTATTGTTTTTGTTATTGTTACGTTCGGTCTTTATTGTTTCGATTCTTTGTTATTGTCACGTTCGGTCTTTGTTATTGTTTTTGTTTGTTACGTTCGGTCTTTATTGTTTCGATTCGTAAAAAATATACTAGGATGACAGTTTTTAATCAATTTACACAATATTTTTGAGATTTTTTGTTTGTTTTGTTTTTAGATGCATATGTGGGGGCATGGATCACAATACCGGAAAGGTCCGGAATCTCTGAGAGGCACACAACCAACCGGAATGCTAAGGCTACCATGTTACTGCTGTGCACCAGGTTGCAGAAACAATATTGATCATCCAAGGGCAAAGCCGTTGAAAGATTTCCGAACACTTCAAACACATTACAAGCGGAAACATGGAATTAAGCCATTCATGTGTAGAAAATGCAGCAAGGCTTTTGCTGTTAGAGGAGATTGGAGAACTCATGAAAAGAATTGTGGGAAGCTTTGGTATTGTATCTGTGGTTCTGATTTCAAACATAAGAGGTCTCTTAAAGATCATATCAAAGCTTTTGGAAATGGACATGCTGCTTATGGATTTGATGGGTTTGAAGAAGAGGATGAACCAGCTTCTGAAGTTGAGCAAGATAATGATTAATCTTAATCTTTCAGCTTTTATATATATATGTTAATTATTCTGGGAAATGATTAGTAGTATAAGCAAGAATTAATTAGTTTAAATGGAAAGCAACATTTTCTTTCGTTTTTTTCTATTTATGTTGGAACATTAGTTAGAATTAGGAGAGTGAGTGAGTGGATACAAAACATATATAGCTGTTAAAGCCAGATATATATTTTGACTTTTGCTCTCATGTATAAAACCTAAAATTCCTTTCTCTAATCTCTTTGGTAAGGTGCAGCTGTTTGAGAAAGAAAAGCTGATGAATTGGTATTATTCTTGATTGATTTATGAATTTGAGCAAGGGCATAGTACTCATACTCATGATTAATATGCCTTATGATCATAATCATTAGCTGATCTATAATTCTGTTTAAATTAATTTATTCCTAACTGATTCATATAAATATAGGTTCATTTTTAAATTTCTAAATTATTTTGCTCACATATGTAGCAAATATATTGTTTAATTTTATGGCTAGTTAAATTTTTTCATAACCAAAATATAATAAGAGTCATGGTTTTAAATTGCACCTGATGCGGTTGTAATATTCTCGTAATATTGTGGTTGCAGCGGTGTCCGCATTAGTATCAAGTTGTAAGTTGCAATGTCTGCAGTAGCATCAGAATATAATTGTGGTGTAATTGTAAATCACACTAAAAACCGCATGATAAAGTCGCAATGGCTGCATCATAATACTACAACGACGGTATTTATTCGTATCAGACCATGTGACCGTAGCTATTCACATTGGACCGTTGCAGTGTGATTTAGATAGATTGTAAATCACACTTAAAACTGCATAATAACACTGTGATTTAGATAGATTGTAAATCACACTTAAAACTGCATAATAATAACACTGTGATTTAGATAGATTGTAAATCACACTTAAAACTGCATAATAACACTACAACGACCGTATCTACCCGCATTGGAATCACACTTAAAACTGCATCATAACACTACAACGACCGTATCTACCCGCATCAGACTGTGCGACCGTATCTACCCGCATCAGACCGTATCAGTCAGCAACATATTACATATTGTTTGAAAAAATTATTTGATCTATCTTCCTTTCATAAAGCTGCCACGACTGCATCATAACACTACAACGATCGTATTTACCCGCATCAGACCGTGCGACCGTATCTACTCGCATCGGACCGTATCAGTCAGCAACATATTACATATTGTTTGAAAAAATTATTTGGTCTATCTTCCTTTCATAAAGTTGCCACGACTGCATCATAACACTACAATGATGGTATCTACCCGCATCGGACCGTGCGACCGTATCTACCCGCATCAGACCGTATCAGCCTGCAACATATTGTTTGAAAAAATTATTTGATCTATCTTCCTTTCATAAAGCTGTCACGACTGCATCATAACACTACAACGATCGTATTTACCCGCATCAGACCGTGCGACCGTATCTACTCGCATCGGACCGTATCAGTCAGCAACATATTACATATTGTTTGAAAAAATTATTTGGTCTATCTTCCTTTCATAAAGTTGCCACGACTGCATCATAACACTACAATGATGGTATCTACCCGCATCGGACCGTGCGACCGTATCTACCCGCATCAGACCGTATCAGCCTGCAACATATTGTTTGAAAAAATTATTTGATCTATCTTCCTTTCATAAAGCTGCCACGACTGCATCATAACACTACAACGATCGTATTTACCCGCATCAGACCGTGCGACCGTATCTACTCGCATCGGACCGTATCAGTCAGCAACATATTACATATTGTTTGAAAAAATTATTTGGTCTATCTTCCTTTCATAAAGTTGTCACGACTGCATCATAACATTACAATGATGATATCTACCCGCATCGGACCGTGCGACCGTATCTACCCGCATCAGACCGTATCAACCTGCAACATATTACATATTGTTTGAAAAAAATTATTTGATCTACCTTTCTTCTTATTTATATTATAGATTAAAGATATGTTTTAAAAAGATCAGAGAGATTCAAAGTGATGACGAATTGTTAATTAAATATATATAAAGATTTAGAGAGAAAATAGAAGACATATGAATGTTTGATAAAAAAATAAATTCATGTTGCAGCGGCTGTAATTTAAAATATACAATTTTATATTAATAAAAAATAAATTTACGCTGCAACAATCACAATCTCTATCACAACAATTCTGATAACCGCAACCACAGGAATTGTACTGTATATTAATAAAAAATAAATTTACGCTGCAACAATCACAATCTCTATCACAACAATCACAATCTCTAGCACAATAATTCTGATAACCGCAACCACAGAAATTGCAACTGCATTTTAAAACCATAATAAGAGTGATTAAGGAATATTTTGAGCGCAAACTTTGCCCCATTATAGTTCTTCTTGCTTCAAGAGATTAATCTCTTTGTGTGTATAGTGTAGGCTTTTCTTTAAAAAAATATAGTACATTGAGTACTCATAACCATATCAAAGTAGGGTTATTACAGCAAAGATAAAGACCTCCCTTTTACAAGCATTACCACTATCTTTGCATATTTTAAAATAAAAATAGAGAAATTATACTTTACTAGTATTATTTAAATATTTTGTGATACAATAAAACAAATATATTATTCCTTTTAAATTAGAGAGAAACAAAAATGAAAATCTCATCATCTTTTTGTCAATATAAAAATTATTATAACGGTCTTTGAGACTATAAAATGTTTGTTAATAAATATTTGTTACATTTATATTGTAGTTAAACTATAACAAATCTAGATAGTGTCTTAAAAAACTATACAACAAACTTGTTTCATTTCATCTTTTTTTTTCATTAATCTAAACATATAAACACTTGATAGAATTAATCCAAAAATTGATTAAGCTTTACCTAATGTAAACATAAACCATCTCAAGCAGTAAACTTTATTTGAAGTATTAGACATATTATATACTAGTATGTAATACTCATTTATGAATTGAAATTTTTGTCCAAGATGAAAAGTGGTCAAAGATGAACACAAGTCTTTTTTCCGTGTATGATGATCTCAAATCCAGAACTTTAAGCCTGTTCAAACTTTGAGGGATAGTGATGGATCTAATAATGCATGTGCATGAAGAAATGTCTTGTGGATTATGAATTCAAGAACTTTACTTTCTTCCCTGAACCTTACCTATACAGTCACTAATTAATCCACAGTCAACAACACGATTATGGAAATACATGAAGGCTTTTTGGTTTGGTTTGGATATAGAGGAGAAGCTAAGGTATAGGATAAATGGATGATAGATGGAAGATACATATAGTAGGGTATAGCACAAATGATTAGTAATTTCAAGAGAAGAGGAAGATATATAGGTAGGATGGATGATATCATAACATAGATGTAATGGTCCCATTCCATGGTGTACTGTGATGAATTGTTGGATCTCATTTGCAGCTTTATGAGATAGAGAAAGAATGGGCAAAAGATGAATGGATCTCATTTCCTTCTGATGGATAAACAGTGTCTTCTGAAACGACCTTTCAACTATTTTTTTCATTTTCACTACTTTATGCTCTATTCTACTCATTTTCACTACTTTCTACTCATTTTCATTTCATGCTCTACTCTTTATTAACCTATTCAATGACTCAAAAAACTTTAAAAGACCTTGAAATTGAGCTTCAAACATTTTTTAAAGTTATTTGAAATTTTAGTCTATTTAAAAATTTGTTTATATGAATATATTTAAATGAATAATTTGATTTATATGTTTAAATAGACTAATAGATTAATAATACAGAAATATTAGACTACATTTTGTCAATTATTAAAACATTTTAGATAATTAAATTATATATTATATTTAATATTATCTTTTAATTTTAGTTTATAATAATAAGTTTAAATATAAAAATTTAAAGTAGATTAATAGATTTAAATTAGTGAAAATGTTAAAATTTTATAATTTGATTCGTAATAATATTAATAATAAATATCATTCATATTTATTTAAAGGATAATGCTAACTTGTGCTTCAAAGGTACATCTTAAAAAACTTATAAATAAAAAATTTGTATCCAAAAAATAATAAATTCATTAATTGTAATCTAAATTAATACATAATTTTTAATAAATTTTTACTATATTTATCTCTTAACTTGTGTTCTTGAGACACAAGTTATCATTACTCTTATTTAAATAATTGGATCTTCTAAATCTATTTTATGGCTAAATAAATATATAGTTTTCTCTATTTTATAAAATTATGGTCTTACTTGAGTTTGCTTAGTTAGTCATCGTAACTTATTTTAACTTCAAGTTATATCTTCAAAGAAATTAACGGCATGGTCAAATGTTATTTGATCAATATTTGGGCGGAGAAATATAAGGTTATAAAGGAAAATCGCTTTACATCTTCATAAATAGATTCTTTTATTTACATTAAAAGGATGTTTATTATAAACTTCATTTAAATAATTTTTTAAAAATAATTTTTGCTATTATAATTTTTTAAAATAATAAAGATCTACTTTTAAATCATTTAAAAGATTTAATAAACATATTAATTAAAAAAACACAAATTTTGTTTTAAAAGCCAAGATTAATAAATATAAAGACCAAAACTTAGTCATTTTTATTTGTTCAATATGGGTGCATTAAATACAAACTTTAAAAAATATTTAAAATATGAACTCTTATTATTTTTAATTTATAATAATACTTTATTTTTAAAAATAACTAATTTAGTCGGTCAATTCACATAGATTAATTTGAAAAAAATATTTTTATAATGTATAGGTATATACATTATAAGTATAAATGTAAAATAAAAATATTAAATTATAAATAATATAAGTAAAAGAAAAATGAATATCGGATTGAAATTAAAAATATATATATATTATTTATATAAAATAGTTTTTAAAAGGAGGAATATGTTTATTTTGTCAATATTTATTACCATATAGGTTAATTTTATAATGCATAGGTGTAGTAGGTGT